TGTTGTTGTGTACAGTTGAGTTGGAACCAACCCATTAGAATAATTAAATATTGCACCTATAAGCTATAATATATATGTCAGTTTTAAGTGCATCAGACAGTTCTGAAATATTAATTTTCATGATGGTTGGTACTTTCTTGATGTAGGAGGTTGATGCTTGATGCTAGTACTTTCTTGATGCTGAATGCTGTACCCTGTGATTCATGTCCTCTTCATTTGCAGTGAGCAAATTATGTCACCAGTATAATTCCACTTATTCATGAGTCTTTTTCCAATTCTTTTGCCACATATCTCTTTACCGCACAGTTTCTTGAATCATGTGCTCAGCATACATACTGAATAGGAATACTAAAGGACACCACTCTGGTGCACATCTTTCTTGTTTTCAAACCTTCTAGTATCTCCTCATTCTGTTTGAAATAACTGCTACTTCATTAATGTACAGTTTCAACATGAGCAGTTGTTTTAAATAATTTCATTATGATTTACATAACTGCAAATATTAATAATGTATTAAATGTATTATTTGTGGTGTCTTTCCTAAAGAACTAAACTACAATGTATTTAATAATATTTACTTCAAGTTCATCATATCAACTGTGAACATATCTCACTATATGGAATAAATAAAACTAATTACCTATATAGTAAATGTTATGCTTGTTTCTATTTTCTTTCTTTGTTGTTGTGTGCCCTTGTGTTGGAACCATCCCATAGCTGACCCTCCAGAGGGCTTTCAGAAACAGTTAATCACGCAGAAGGAGATTGTCCATCCTTCTTCCATGTAGAAGTTGGTGGATTCGAACCAGATGCCTTTGGGATTGCAGTGCAGCTTCTTGCCACTTGTCCACCACAGTTCCTAATATAAGAAGATTGGAATAAAATAAGTTCAATTAAAGCATACAAAGAAAAATAACATAATAATAGCCCAATCTTTATTGTATCAACTTAATAGAAAAAAATTTTGTTTCCAGCTTCTGTGCTTAACACATTTGCTGAAGTCTATGCCTTTCTCTTTTGGCTAGAAGAGTAATATAACAGTCTTTCATAGTTCTGTTTTCTTTGTTTCAGTAGTACATGTAACAATTATAAGATGCACATATCCTTAAATCTGTTTATTCTAATTGTGTTTGTTTCATCATTTACATATTTTTAATTTAAAATCTGTTAAGCTTAGAAAATAGAAATCGTGAAAATAGTTGTTTCTATGAAAAGAATTTGTGTTTTAAAAACTCTATAAAGGTGAGTTCCTCAAAATATGTCCTCAAAGTAAGTGAGGGCTAGAGAACTATATATTAAGAGAGAAAGCTTAATAAAAACCAGACATCTAGAAGGATTCTGAACATAAATTGCTTCATGAGACTTTGTAATTGCTTGATGTACTTTAAAGGGATAGAAGCAGAAAATTGCATAGGATGAATTATAACTATGATTTATGGGAAATATTTTATTGGGCTATGAACCAGCCAAATGGCACTCAAAGTACTTGACCTTAAATTCCAATATTTTAAAATAAATATATATATTTTATACATGTATAAAATATATATATTCTTTTTTTTAAATTAACATTGCTAACGTTATTGGTGTCTTCACTGGATGTATTTGACTGCTGTGGACTTGAGTGGGGAGCATGTCCCTACCCAGCTCCCGACAGGGAAGAGGATGGGAGGAGAGACTCCGGCGATCTTTTAAATCCCTTGTTGGGAGGCCAAGGCCCCCTTCCCTGCCTGGGGACATGTAGGGCCAGGGCATGGGGGCAAAATCAGCCCACTCCTGGGAACACTGACAAACCCAGCTCTGGCCTGGTGTGCTACCTTGAGTCACATGGACAGGACAGGCACAGGGATGCGAAGGCTGACTTCTGATCAGAAGTTGGGGAAGCCTCAGGACAATGCTGCGCTTTGGGGATCCCCCACACCTTGTGTGGGCAACTTGTCCTCGGGTGTACTGCCTGGAAGATTTGGGAGCCTCCACCTGAGTGGCCTTCACCAACTCTCACCTCTCTTACCTGCATCCGAGATGCCCAGGAGGCCACTGGCAGGTGCCCCGGTGAAGAGAAGGGAGACGGTGGGCAGGAGGGCTGCCCTGCAACAGAAAGTCCCTCGTGCTGAGATCCCCCTCATCCTCGGAGGGAGGGGTCTCAGCCTCCCATCTCGGGCCTTTCCCTGCCCACCAGTCTGGGGTGCAGTCCAGAAAGGCCTGATGCCCTCAGACCATTAAAACCACTAGTTCCGTCCCCCCCACCCTGGGAGTCCTGGCTGAGTGTGTGAGCGGTTGACCCTCCTCGTCCCTGACCCGTCCCTTCCTGCAGCACAGAGAGACACAGGGCAGGATCCATGAATGCGTCACGGAGGCAGAGAAAAGAGAAAGTGTTTTATATACGGTACTTATTTAATATCCCTTTTTAATTAGAAATTAAACAGTTAATTTAATTAAAGAGTAGGGTTTTTCAGTATTCTTGTTTAATATTTAATTTCAACTATTTATGAAATGTATCTCTCTCTTACTCGCTTTCACTCTCTCTTATTTGTACTGGTTTTTGTGTATGAAATCCTTGTCCCAGCATCTCTCCCTCATTGGCGACAGTATAGTCACTACTAGCATGTCCTAAACAGATATTTAATTTTGCTAACACTCAGCTCTGCCCGCCTCATTTTCCCAGCTCCCCACCACACATTCCTTTGAAATAAGGTTTCAATATACATCTACATACTATATATATATTTGGCTACTTTGTATATATATACATATATATATATGTTTATGTATATATGTGATTCTGATAAAATAGACATCGCTATTCTGTTTTTTATATGTAAAAACAAAACAAAAATAGAGAATTCTACATACTAAATCTCTCTCCTTTTTTAATTTTAATATTTGTATCATTTATTTATTGGTGCTACTGTTTGTCCGTAATAATTGTGGGGGAAAAAGATATTAACATCTCGTCTTTGTCTCTAGTGCAGTTTTTCGAGATATTCCGTAGTACATATTTATTTTTAAACAACAAGAAATACAGATATATCTTAAAAAAAGCGTTTTGTATTAAAGATTTTAATTCTGATCTCAAATCTCTTCCTGTTTCTCTTCTCATTGAATCCTTGTTCCAGCCTTCCTCCCTCCCTCTTTCATTCCTCCCTTGGGGAACCTGGCATTTGTCTCAAGTGTCATATAGGCTGACCCACCTCATTGTGCTCAGGTTAGAGTCCTTCATTTCTGGCTGGGCAAGACCTGGAGAAAACTGTCTCCCCATGCCTTAATACAGAAGGGAACTCTGGACATAGCTGGTGAGAGGGACAGCTCCTTAAAAGGGAACCTGGGGCCTTTGAATAAAATAGCCTTCAGGAAACACATGATTCAGGCCCCTATCCTGTGGTCAAGGAACTTGCTGCCTAGTCTCTTACGTGTGCAGCTCAGAACGGGGTGTGATGAGGACTGGGCTTGGCTGTAGAGTTCCAGCAGATTTGGAATGGGAAGGATGTGCCCATGGAGGGCCAGAATGAGCTTGAGTTTTACATAGTTTGGGGGTTCTTTGTCCCCCAAACACCCCCCCCCCCACCTAGAGATTCCATAGCTCTGACTTACCCACCTCACTGTATACCCCCTCCTCTGCTGTCCGGGTCCCAAGTCAGAGGGGGCCTGTCTGTCTCTTTGACATTTATGAACAAACATCCAGGTACACTTCCTCCAGTCATTCAGTCCTTCAGGCTGTGCTTGGAAAGCCAGTCTGTGTGCTAGGTCTTGAGGGCTGCTGCAAATGGGATATGGTTTCACCCCTCAAAATCTGGGAACCAAATCCTGGACAAGTGGTAAAAACTTGGAGGTGCGTGTTCTGCTGGGCATCATAGAATCTGGGGTCTTCTCAAGGCAATACTTTTGCCCCTTAAAGGATGGATAGAAATGAGGCAATGACAGGTGTGAGGGTTGAGGGCAGATGGGGCAAGAGCGAAGGGTTGAGGATGGAGAGGTAGGCAGGGATTAACTCACAGGAGGTCTGCAGTGGGTGCTGAGAGCTTGGGGACCTGCCGGGGATGAGAAGCAGCTGAGGGGTCTTAAATAGCCAGTGTACAGTCAGATAGGCTTTTCAAAGGGTGCAGGCAGGAAGCAGGGCGGCCAGGTGGGAGGCTGTTGCAGTCCTGGGAGATGCCCAGGGAGGCTGAGAAGAAGCGGGCTTCAGCAGCAGACTAGGAGTGCATTGTCTGGCTTTCTTCACGTGTGCACAGACTTGAGTCTACACTCTGGAGGAGACAGGAGGCCGGTCCCTGGGATCCTTTGCTCTAACGAGTGCTCATATTCCACGCTCACCGTGTGCTGGTTCTTAGACTTGTTGACCCGTTGGATCTACACATGAGTCCTGGGAGGACGTGGGAGGGGTATTGTCCACGCTGGCCTCCTGGAGTCATCTCTCTTAGTTCTTTTTCCTTGATTTTCACACCACAGGTGTAGTGAGCCTGTTAAGCCATGAGCCAACTGTGTCACCTCTTGATTCAAAACCTTCCAAAGATTCCCATTTTACTCAAGAGTAAAAG